AATTACATAAAATGACATTTATATTATATATTAATATGTAATATACTAATTAATAATTAATATATCTGAAATATTGTATTACATATACATTAATTACTATTAAAATATTGTAATATTATATTATTATAACATCAAATTATTATATTATTATATTACAATATTATAATAGGATAATATATAATATTATTTTATTAATATATACAATATTAATCAATAATAACTTATTATATATTATATAATATTATAGCATTATAATAATTATATAATTATTATAGTGTATATTTTATAGATAATATATTATATGTTACATATTATATCTAATGTATATAATATTATATATTGTGTATATCATGTATTACATATAATATAATATGATATAATATGATATGATATAATATGATATGATATGATATGATATGATATAATATATAACATAACAAAACATAATATAACATAATATATATTAGTTATACAATAATATTAAAATAATTATTATTAGTAGTATTAGTATTAGTAATAGTATTATATTAAAATAACAAATTGAACAGTGAAAATCCATTGGGCAGAAAGAAACGGGGTGTATCTACCGAGTAGGATCTAAATTCCATGAGTGTACTAGTAGTATTTAGTAAATAATAAATATTATTATTATTAGTTTATTAAAATATTATTTATTAAATAATAGTAGTAACTAATATTAATTTATTAACATACTACTTTATTAGTAATAATTATGTAAAATAATATTATATTGTATATAGTATATGGTATATAGTATATAGTATATAGTATATAGTATATAGTATATAGTATATAGTATATAGCATAGAGCATAGAGCATAGAGTATATATTAATTAATAGATATATATGATATATGATATATGATCTATGATATGTTATATATTATATTATACATATTATATATATTAATTACTACAATAATATTGTAATATTATATTTTATTAATATAATATAATATTACTTTATTATTATATTACAATATAATAATATTATAATATTGTAATATATATTATATTATATAATAATGAATATTATAATACAGATCATAATGTTAATCAATAATTAATAGAATATATTACATAATATTATATAATAGTGTATATTATATATATAATGTATTATGAATAATATATATAATATATCTAATATTACACATTATATATTATTATATATTATATATTATATATTATATATTATATATTATATATTATAATATATTTGATATATTAATAGTATATATGATATAATATATATTATATGATATATGATATATAATATATGATATATAATATATGATATATAATATATTATTAGTATTATATTAAAATAATAAATTCGACTCTGAAAATCTATTGGGAAGAAAGAAACAGGGTGTATCTACTGAGAAGGCTCTAAATTGCAGGAGTGCACTGGAAAAGGAATAAATAAAGGAATAAAAGGACTAAATAAAGGAATAAATACAGGAATAAATAAAGGAATAAA